CACCCTTCTCTGTCCCTGGCCCTGCTTGACTTGAGCTTTGTGTTTTGTGTTGCTGGTGAAAACCGAACTTAATTACCAGACGTCTGGGACGCCTCTCAGTTCACAGACCCCTCTACCCAGACTCTTGCCTCTGGCTCTCCCAGTGTGCGGTTGCTACTAGCTGCTGATCTGCAGAAGTTACAGCTTGGGAACGGTAGGCATCCACAAAGACCGCCTTCTCTGCTGTTCTCCCTGTAAAGCCACATGCTACCAGCCTCCCTGGTGGCAATGGAAAAGAGGACAGATTTTTGTCAAAGAGTCTCATCCTTTCAAGTGAAAATTAGTGCGTATTATAACTTGAATTAAATGGGTGCCCTGACTCCATCGACTGCAGAAATTGTTGGTTTCTAGATGCTGATTGTAAGGGATAATTCTTAATTCCAGGTATCAGTCTCTACTTCCCAGCATGGTTCTTGGCCTTTCCCACCCATAGGCTTTCATGTGATTTACTCTTCCCTGGAGTGTTTGTAGGAGGTAAAGGGAGGAGGAGGAGATCAGCATCAGGGAAACAGCTAACATTTACTGAATATCTATTCTATTTTAGGTACTGTTCTGAGCTCTTTACTCCAACCTTATACAGGCAGGTACCCTTATTTTTCCCACTTAGCAAATGAAAAAACTAAGGCCATCATAGGTGAAATAACATGCCCAGGTGTTCGTAAGTGGTAAGGGGTCTGTCTGGATTCAGAACTAGCTAGCATGTGCTAACTCAGCATTCAGGAGAGTCCTGCAAGTGTGCACAGTGCAGGTTATAGCTTAGAGTCAACAACTGTGCATATGTACAAAATCATTTCCCCAAATCTAAGAAATACTTGGTCAATTTTTCAATTTTATCTTATGAAAATGAGTGAATCTACAAGAGTTGGGAGTTTGCAAGTGAGACTTCCAACATGGCTAGGGGATGCCTCTGACTCCACAAACTGTAGGCAAAAATGTTGCATATAATTTTGAGAAGTTCAAAGTCCCTCTAAAGTACTTCTTCTAAGGGACCCCATGGAACTCCCAGATTAAGAAACTGTGACTTGGAGCAATATTAAATTTGATCAATATGAGAAACTGATTTGATATAATAGCAACAGAGGAAGCTAAACTCAGGTAGGAAAATAGAAATTTGTGTAGGATTATATGGCCTCAGGTGGACTTTCTTGTTTCAGAGTCATAGCTTCCCTGACCTTCTCCCAGCTCAGGGTTTATTGTGGATTTCTACAAAGTAATACTAGATCACTGCTTTGAGTTCTTTGAAGAGATGAGTCCACTCCTTTGTAGAGTATCTTTCTGACAGTTTCCAGGTTGCCTAACCCTAGAAAATTTGCAAACTCAAATTAGTGACACAAATAGCAAGCAGACTCCTGTGGAGATTCCAGGAACACAGGAAGGGCCTGTTTTTAGGTCTCTGAACCTGGGACTTTCTTAGCCAATCAGCTTTATAAGGGAGGAAAAAAAGAATCTTTAAACATCTGTGGTTTATTGGAATCCTGTAAATTAGACTAGCAAAAGACAGATTAACAAGAGAAAAAAATGAAAGACATTAATTTAGAGAGAAACAAGACTTTTATGCATGGGAACAAGTACTGATGAATAACTTAAAAGGGTGGTGAGGATTTGGGGTAGCACCTTAGCTTAACAATAGCATCTTAACAAAAGAACAACATTTGTAGAGACGTGGTAAGAGAAAGGAAAAGGATTTTGAACTTCCTGACAAATATATGGAGAACTCTTGGAAAATAAGTGCTAGTCAATAAGGTTTGCTGTGTAGATTCTTCGTGGGCTGATAAAAGGTCCAGAGTTGTCTCTGGTGATTAACTTTGTTTCTTCCTAGCGGAGACAGAAGGTGCAGGACACCTTTATAAATGATGCTCTAATTTTAAGCAAACAGGGAAAATACAAGGGCTTCTTCTTAATTGGCTTCTGCTCAAAAGAATTCTAAAGCCAAAGTGGCATGTTTTGAGTGACATGTTCTGCTGCGCTTCGGCAGAAGCCACCCTGTCAGGGGAACGATTGCCCCAGGGATGAGGCTGCTGGGCACTGATGCCAAGAGGCGGTGTGTGGAGGAGGTGGGAGAAGGAAGCAATGCTCTCAGATTGTGGTAGAGTCCTGAGAGACTGTAAGTCCCACAGTGTTTGGAAACAAAGTCACCTCCACATCACCACCATCACCAAACCCAGAAACGTTGGCCAGAAATAAATGACCCTTTATCTCAGCTGCACCCCTTAGATGCCTTGTCTTTGCTATTTTCCTTTTTTTGAAGGCTACTCTTTGTGCTTATTTTATACAAATTTCCTCTGGACAAGTAATTTGAAGGTGAGTGTTATGGTATGGATGTGAGGTGTCCCCCAAAGCTCACATGTGAGACAATGCAAGAAGGTTCAGAGGAGAAATGATTGGGTTGTAAGAGTCTTAACCCAATTAGTGAATTAATTCCCTGACAGGGATTCATTGGTAACTGAAGTGGTAGGGTGTGGCTGGAGGACCTGTGAATTGGGGTGTGGCTTTGGAGTATATATTTGTAACTGGTGAGTGGAGTTTCTCTCTGCTTACTGATCCTGATGTGAGCTGCTTCCCTCTGCCACTCTCTTCCACCATGATGTCCTGCCTCACCTCCAGCCCCGAGGAATGGAGCCTGTTTATGTATTGAAACTGTGAGTCCCTAAACTTTTCTTCCCCTAAAATTACTCTGGTTGGGTCCATTAGTCACAGCAGCGAAATAGCTGACTAAAACAGTGAGGGTTTTCTCTGGGCATCCTTAGGACAGATAATACAGATGACAGTTAATATTTATTGTGATGGCACATGCCACAATCCTAGGGACTCAAGAGACTGAGGTAGGAGGATTGCAAGTTTGAGCTGAGTCTTGGTAATGTATCAAGATTCTGTTTGAAAATAAAAAATAAAAATGGCTGGGGGTCTAGCTCTGTGGTAGAGCAGCCCTGGGTTTAGTTCCCAGTCGTGGAAAAAAAAAATTGTGCAGCTAGAATGTACTAGGCACTGTGCTACAGGCCTTCCATGCATAAACTCATTTAACCCTTCCAGTGGCCAAGAAAGTGGGTTTGATTATTATTTCCATTTTGTAGAGAAGAACACAGATTCAGAGTTAGTGAGCTTGCTTGAAGTCATGCAGTCAGAAAGTGGGGACTTAAGGATTCGAACCCAGGGCTCTGAGTGCTGAATGCTCGCTTCTGGTCACTTCATTGCAGGGTGCTCCTAGCAGGACTGGGAGTTTAGCAACTCCTCCTTAATGAAGCATTTGCATCAGGGTTCCCACCTTTCCTAACCTGCCCAGAGCTCTGGGCTTTCACGCTCCCTCAGGTTTTTCTCACTTTCTTTTCCCTTCCACTCCAAACGCTTACTCTACTTCTGGCCTTCAACAATAGTTGAGGATCACTTACCTTCTTGGGGGGCTTGCCTTGGGCTCAGCACCCTCTAATCCTAAATCATCAGCACCCTCCAACAGCTTAAAGAATAAAATTGAAACACTCTGGTGGCACTCAGAATCTTCAGCCTCTACATCCATTTGTCTCTAATCTTCAGTTGGCCTTTGTCTATGGTTGGTTTTGTTCTGTATGCCTCTATATAACTGTCTTCTATCATCTGTCTCCTCTATTTATCAAAATTGCTTAAAAGGCATTTTAGTGGTATGTCTTGCCATGGATCTTTTGGGGGAAAGTACAAATGCAAATTATGACCTACACATATAAACACCCACCATTTCCTATGGCATCAGCCAAGTTCCTAGATAGTCCTTTTTTACTCCCCTCTCTGGCTTGTGATAGGTCTTTCTTAGACTTCAGGCCAAGCCTCTCTGCTCTAGGAAGCTTTCTTACTAGTCCTGGCTTGAAATGGTCACCTGCTTCTCCTGATTTGGGCTTTTAAATCTGGTGGTACAAACTGGGACGAGCTATGGTCCAAGGCCAATTCCACATTAGACCTGGGCATATCTTGCTTTGCCATGTCCAGCTGAGTGATATTGAGCAGGTCAGTTAATCCTCTGAGTCTCCATTTTTGCATCCATAATATATAGTATACTACCTACTGTACATCATGTCTATAATGATTAAATACAATTCTGTATAGACAGAAGTGTACCTAAAACAATTTTATAAGGGCAACATTGTAAGAGTCTGTATAGCCTAGTGGCTTGGACAATAGCCTCTGGATCTGGTTGCCCTGCGTGTTCCTATCCTAGCTCTACCCCTTACTGTGTGACCTCGCATGTGTTATTGAACTCAGTGGCTCAATTTTCCTATTTTTGTAGGAAAGGAGAAGACAGGTTTACTGTGAAAAGACAGGAGGTAAGGCACCTGGCACAGAGAAGCTGATAAAAATCAGACATCTTGTAAGCCATTCTTTTTACTCACTTCAAGATGTGGTTTGCAGTGCAGGTACCTAAACTGAGCTCCCTCACAGTACAGTGTCCCCAAGCTCCATGACCCGCCTGACATGTGCTCAGGAGTCATACCGCTGAACTCACTCACCATCTTAAGAAGATGAGCAACTGCCCCCTGCAGCCTACAGATCCAGAGAAAACTGTTTCCAAACTAGGATCCTTAGAGCAGAGGGAGGGGAAAGAACTTAGAGGTAAGAGTGTTGGGAGGGAAGGGGGGGTGGGCGCCTCTTCTCCCATCACGGATTCCCTCTCCCGAGGCCATCGGGTTCCACGTGTGCCGTGAGGGCAGCCGCAGCCAACCCGCGTGCCAGGCGTCCACGGCGGCGGGGCAGTGGGGTGAGAAACCACCCCTGCCTCACCTGAGTGGCCCCGTGGCCCCGCCTACCAGGATACCGGTCCAGGTGCTGCGGGCCCGCACCCTCCACCCAGGTGCGGGATATCTGGAGCCCAGAGGACCCGCAGCGTCCCCGCCCGCCCCTGTCCCCGGCCTCGGGGCACCGCCACACCTTCCCGGGCTCCGCAAGGGTTAAGGCAGCGGAGAGCCGAGGTTTGGGCTGACGTCGCTCTGGCTGAAGGTGGTTTCCCTGGGATGAGGATGGGAGAGCCCGGCGGCGAGCTGAAACCCGAGCTGCCGCTCAGCTGGGGCTTGGGGAGGTCCCTGGAAGAGCCGCCAGCCCGCCGGCCTCCCGCGTCCCTCCTCTTGCTCCCCCGCAGTCGCTGGGCTCGGCACCACCGCGGGAAAGATGGAGCTGGACCGGTGGACGCAGCTGGGACTCACGTTCCTGCAGCTCCTTCTCATCTCGTCTTTGCCAAGAGGTACTGTCACCCATAGGGTCCTGGATACCTCGAGAAGGGGGCATTTCCCTCCAGGGGGCTGACCCGGAGCAGGACCGGGAGTCTGGGCGGGGACTTTTTCTCTGGTGATAATCTCGGGGCTTTATTGGTGTCCCTGGAGCGTCTGTTGCCTTCGCTTAGAAGGGGATACAGTTTTGTCATCCGTAATTGTGGGACTGGACTGCCTCAGGAAGGGGGACGAGCTCCAGTATGATTTGCTCATTTTTAGTTTATCTGCTTTAAAGCATGAAATTACCTTGGGGAATCAATTCAGAGTGAGTTGCAAGCTTTGATTTGCAAAAGCAAAGTTTCCCCTGGAAAGAGCTCCCGCAGAGGTGAGCTGGAAAGAGAGGGGAATAAAGAGCAGGGCTTGCCTGGGTGTTCCTCTTGGTGAATCTTGCTTAATGCTGTCTGACAACAATGTATCTGAACAGAATTCCAACACAAGAGATTTCTTCATCCAGAATAGACACACTTTCTGATAAGAAAGAGAAAGGAGAGAAAGAAAGCTGGGGTTAAAAGTGCAAGCTGTTTCTGGGGATGTTTGTTTTGAAGGAATTTTGGTTTCTTTGTTTTTCACATGCCATTTTTCTGAGCCACAATTCCCAGGTCAAATGGGCTTCCAGGACAAGTGAGGTTGGGACATGACTCAGAGCTCCTGGAAGCCTGTTGACCTAGCAAAGGACAAAAGCCAGGGAGTGGAGGGTCTTCTAATGGCTTGCTGCCAGGCAGGGAAGCAGGGGCTTCTTAGGAGCCTCTGTCCTTATATGGCTCCAGGGATGAGGTGTCACATCAGGTGTGACTTAACTCATGAGGTCAAGGCTTGAGATGTACAGATGTGACAAAATAGGGCAGCTTTGTGCAGGAGCAGGTATTGTGAACCTGGATGCCTGTTCCCTGTGCTCCATCTCTGCAGGTGGCCCGAGTCACAAACAGGATAAGTGGGGTGGTGAGGATGCTGAGTGCTATGGTCTGCTGTAGGGAGGGGGACACAGCCTAAGAAACATCCCTCATTATCAACAAAAAGCCTCTCCCCCACTTGGGCTGATCCTTTTCATTTACTTTGAGCCAGCCTGCCCCCAGGTAAATCTTCCTTAGTGATGTATCATCAAAATGGTGAGAGTGTTTCATTTGGATTTTACCTCCAAACTATCTGGAGCAGCCCAAAGACTAATGAAGGAAGAAGGAGACCTTCAACAGTAGCTGATAACCCATAAGCCTAAACACTTGACCAGGGGTAAGTTGAGGACTCCTCCCTCCTCCATCTCCAAACTTCCAGGCTGTGGTAGCCTGGAAGTAGTTAGACCAACTCCAGAGGACCCTGGTTCTTGTCTGAGTGCCAGGGCTTGGTGGATGAGATTGCTCATTAAACAAACAAACAAACAAAACAAAACAAAGCTCAGCTGCCCACGATCTGAAAAACCCATTTCTTACTGACCTGAGAATCTCTTTTACCTTTTGCTATGGAGAAGCATTGGGGAGGGTGTGTGATTTGTTGTCAGCCAAGCTGTTGATGGAACCGGAGAACTGTTCCATGTGTTTAACAAGGGTATTTCAGTTGTCGAATGTTCACATTTGGAGGGAAGGCAGAGGAATAGAGTGGAGAAGGAAAATATTTCTTCATGTAGTGAACGAGTCCACTCCCTGCTGGAATTTTGAATCTGGCCCCTGACAAGAAAAGCTTGGAAGCGTATTTGTTCTAATTCCTTTGCTAAAAAGAGTGTCGGATAAAACGTAAACATCCACTGGGATGGGATGGGTGATTGTTGTTGCTCATGAGCATGTGATACATGTTGGAGGATGAGAATCCAGACACTGGGCCAAGTGATAAACCTAACATAAACAGCATGTGAGAAGGGAAACCCAACTCCAGTGACTTCACCAACAGCAGTAGCTCTGCCAGAGTGACTCTGCCTAAGAGGAAAACCTCATTTAAAATATGGGTCTCTTGGGAAATGAAACCTTAATATGGATAACTTCACAAGTGTTACTTCCAACAGACGTTAGCTTGTGGGGAATGAACACAAACATCAGTGGGGGAGATAATTTGAAGCGCAGATATTCAGTGGGTAGGAACAGTCAGCTGAGAAGGGGAATGTGGAGAGGAAGCTAGGGAGAAGGAGTGGTAAGAAAAAATGAGATGTTAGTCTATAATGGGATGTGTTAGCACATTCCAGGGTCAGAGCTAGGAAAACTGGGCCTTCTTGGCAGGGGTGGATTTTTGTAGGGACCAGGAAGAGGGTGTTCACCCCAATATACTCTGAAAGTTTCTGGCATCCCAAAAGGAAAATAATTTTGTGGTGGGATCATAGATTTTTGGAGCTGAGAGTGACTTTAGTGGTCAGTTTAGTTTGGGTCCTTTGTTTCCAAAGACAAGGAGACTGGACATCTAGCTGACATCTAGTGACATTTATGATCCAAAGGCTTTAGTGCATTAATTATGAGATTCCCCCACTTGATAAAGTAAGGTATTATTGCCATCCCTGCTTTACAGATGAAGTTCAAAGAGGCTCTGTGATTGGTTCAAGGATACACAAGCATGATTCTTCAAAAAATTAAACCTAGAATTGCCATTTGATCTAGTGATTCCACTTCTGGGCATATACACAAAAGAATTGAAAGCAGAGACTTGAACAGATATTTGCAAACTGATGGTCCTAGTATATTACTCCCCAAAGTCAAAAGATGGAAACAACCCAATGTTGGTCGGTGGATAAATAAAATGTGCTATAGGCATAAAATAAGATATCATTCATGTTTAAAAATGAAGGAAACTTTGATACATAGTATAACATGGCTGAACCTTGAGAATAATATACTATATGAAAGAAACCAGACACAAAAAAGACAAACATCACGTGATTCCATTTATGTGAGGCACCTAGAATAGTCAAATTCATAGAGACAGTGGGATGGGAGTTGTCAGGGGCAGTGGAGAAGAAGGAACAGATGTTATTGTGCAGAATTTCAGATGTAAAAATTCTAGAGATAGATATGGGTGACCGTTGTACAACTGTGTAAATGTATTTTTTAAAAATTTATTTTAGTTGGGTGTAATACCTTCGTTTCATTTATTTATTTTTATGTAAAGCTGAGGACGGAACCCAGGGCCTCACATAGGCTTGGCAAGCACTCTACCCACTGACCTCAACCTCAGCCCCTGTGTGAATGTATTTAAGGCTACTAAACTATGTATATAAACTATATATATAAACATAGTTGGAAAGATGGTTTTATGTTATATACATGTTGCCACAAAAAAAAAAAAATTAAAGTCTACGTAAGCAGATTAGGAGAGCCTATCGTGAACCCCACTGTCCAATGTCTGAGCCCAAGTTTGCCTGTTAGCTGATTGACTTACACTCACACATTTAGCATGTGGGTAGATGGTGCTTATGCACATCTAACCTTGACAAAGTTCCAGGACACACAGGAAGCAGGGGAAAAGCCCTTGCTAGCTCCCGTTGCTCTGTCTTGGCTTACTGTGGCAAAGAGGAATGTTTCAGAGCTGAGAACTGCGAACTGGCAAGCTTCAGGTCACATGGCCTGCAGAAGTGTTTAGCAGGACACCATGCTTCGAAATGTGTGAACCCTTGATATAAGGAGAGTAACTAAGAACAGAGTAGGGACGAAGAGCATGAGAAGAAGATTAACATTAAGCAGGGATGAGAGGTGGGAGGGAGAGGGAGAGAGAAGGGAAATTGCATGGAAATGGAAGGAGACCCTCAGGGTTATACAAAATTACATACAAGAGGAAGTGAGGGGAAAGGGAAAAATAATACAAAGGGGAGAAATGAATGACAGTAGAGGGGGTAGAGAGAGAAGAGGGGAGGGGAGGGGAGGGGAGGGGGGATAGTAGAGGATAGGAAAGGCAGCAGAATACAACAGACACTAGTATGGCAATATGTAAATCAATGGATGTGTAACTGATGATTCTGCAATCTGTATACGGGGTAAAAATGGGAGTTCATAACCCACTTGAATCAAAGTGTGAAATATGATATATCAAGAACTATGTAATGTTTTGAACAACCAACAATAAAAATTAAAAAAAAAAAAAAGAAATGTGTGAACCTGAATGCCTTGAGGGAGGTTGGATCCTCTCTATGGCCTAACACTCATCTGCTAGTCTCCACTGGCACTTAAGTTTATGACCTCCATTCCTGAGAGGAACGGGGTGGAAGGCCGCATGCTAAATGGGGACATCGTGCACGTGAATAAAAGTGCTTAGGAATAATTGACCAACAGGACTTTTTAAAGCACCTTCTACAGGAGATTTTTATAAGACTGGAATATATTTGAACTTACGTGTTTCGTGAAATGTAATCTCAGCTCTCTCTGTGACCTCCTATTCAATGCTTTATTCTCATGAATGACTATCAGTGTGACCTTTTGGTGGAAACTGAGGACAAAGCTGGGTGCTATAACTGGGCTTCATAAACTGTGAGTCAAGCACTTTTGGACATGGAAGCCCAGAAGCAAAGGTGTCTTAGAGTACGTAAGTCCTTTGAAAATACCCAGAAGTCCTGGGGAGGTCTTTGGAATGTCACTGGCACAGAATGTGGGTTTGATCTAATCTTCCCTACATCTGGGTTGCACTGAGGAGTTAGAACTGGCCGAGATAATAATGTCTGGGAGACCTAATGACTGGCCTTGAGTCAGAAAATGATTTCCATCTGCCTCAGTGAGGGTGAACAATCCTGATACAGTAGAAAACTTCTCCCCTGATACCAACTCTAGAAATGGCAGTTGCTTTGAGGCATGTGCACATTGGGGAAACTGTCATTTCCATGATAAATGAGGGAAGGTGTGCACCTCCCTTGTCCTCCAAGGGAGAGGGGCGAGCAAGGGAACTGTCAACCTCACCATATGGATATTTGAAAGTCACAAGCCCCTCCCTCTTTATTTTAATTTAAAGAGGAGAGAAATACTGTGTTTATACTTTCCAGTTCCTGAATTCCAGGGCAGAGGACCCAGAAGCC